AAACAGAAAAAAGAGGATTTTATATAAAATTATGAGTCTACAGATTATTTTTTTTAAAAGCTCCTATTATATTTAACACAACAGTACCAATACTGTCTGATTGTGTCCCCTTCTGAACTTCCTTCTGCTCTTTTCCATGTATTTAAAAAAAGTTTATAAACCCTCTTTCTTCTTCTTCTTCTTCTTCCTTCGTTCTTCCTTCCTTCCTTTCTTTCTTCTTCTCCTCCTTCTTCTTCTCCTTTTCCTCCTCCTTCTTTCTCTTTCTTCATTTTCTCCTTCTTTTCTTCTCTATCATTCCCCAAAACATCTTGCAGTATTCTCTCCTCTTCCCCACTTAATACTCTTCCTATGCCAAATAAGGATATTCATACAAAACAAATTCACCCATTAGTCTTATCTGAAAATGTATGTCTCGTTCTGCATCTATGGTTTATCATCTCTTGGCCAAGAGATGATTCTTCATTCTTTGACTTAGATTCTTCATTATTAAACTTCTAGAGTCGTATTGGTAATTTATCAGCTGTTGGGTTTGTGTGTGTGTGTGTGTGTGTGTGTGTGTCTTTCAAAGTTGTTTTCCTTTATATTATTGTTGTTGAGGCAGCTAGGTTGCATAGTGGACAGAGCCTGAAGTCAAGAAGACCTGAATTCAAATGCTGTCTCAGATATTTGTTAGCAGTTTGACCCTGGGCAAGTCACTTAATCACTCTCTGCCTCACTTTCCTCAAATGTAAAATGGGGATAATAGCTACACCTACCTCACAGGATTGTTGTGAGGATCAAATGAGATATTTTTAAAGCTCTTAGCGCCTAGCACATAGTAGACACTTACATTCTGTCATCCCCTATAGTTGTATATATTGTTCTCTGGGCTCTGTTCATTTCATTCAGCATCAGTTCATACAAGAATTTATAGGTTTCTCTGAGTTCATCCCTTTCATTATTTCTTATGTAAATAATATTCTGTTATATTCGTATACTATAATTTATTTGTTCAGCCATTCCCCAACTGATGGGCACCCACTTTGTTTCCAGTTCTTAGCTGTAATGAAAAGAGCTTTTACAAATGTAAATCTCTCTCAAATGTAGTACGGGGTGTTGTGTGTGTGGCTTATAGGAAGGCTGGAATAGACACATTTCTAGCTTCCCTTCCCTTCACCCTCCTCCAAGGGAATCTTTAATTCCTGCCAAGAGGGGAAGCAGGAGGCTGGGGACTAGAAAATGGCTGCCACTCAGATCTCCTCAGAGAAAAGGGGTGGGTATTGGGCTTATATCTATCTTCTCCCTTAAATACTATTAATCTAGGGGATCTGATTTTTAGGTTCAAGCTAAACTTCTGATCACTATTCTTTAATATTCATTTGAAGCTTATTATGCTGTATGGTGTGAAATGTTGTTCTAAACCTAATCTCTACGAATCTGCTTTTAGAATTTTCACAGTAATTTTTGTATAATCATGAATTTTTACCCCACTAGCTGGTATCCTTGGGCTTATTGAACACTAGGCTACTATGTTCAATTGATTCCGAGTCTTATGTATCTATTCTTTTCCATGGATCATCTTTTCTATTTTTTAACCTGGTACAGCTAGGCCCTCTTTCTTCCCACTTTTGTTCATTATTTCCCTTGAGATTCTTGACTTTTTTCTTCCTCCAGATACAGTTTTTTTTAAAGTTCTATAAAATAATCCATTGATTGATTGGTATGGCAATGAATCTGTAAATTAATCCAGACAGAAGTGTCATTTTTATTCACATGGTCCAACCATAAGCAATTAATTTTTTTAGATTATTTTTCTTACATTATTTCTGTAAAGAGTATTTTGTATTTGTATTCATATAATTTTTGTGTGTGTCCTGTAGGTAGATGCCTAGATATTTTATTCATCTTGTAATTGTTTTGAGTGGAATTGCTTGTTTTTAAAATTTTTTTTCTGTTAAGCTTTGTTGGTAACATACATAAAGGTTGGTGAGTTTGTGGGGTTATTTTATAACTTGTTATTTATTAAAGTGATTGTTTCAGTTAACTTTTTAATTGAGTCTCTAGAGTTCTCTGAATAAAAAATATCATCTGCAAAAGCTGTAATTTTGTTTCTTCTTTGTCTGTGTTCTCTCAATTTCTTTTTCTTGTCTTATTGCTCTGCCTGCCATTTCTAGAATTCTATCACATAATATGTATGACAATGGATATCCTTGCTTTGCTCCTGTTCTTACTGGAAAGGCCTGTGGTATTCCAACCCCCTCATTTTACAGATGAGTAAACTGAGTTCTAAACATATCCAAGGTCATAGTTAGTCATCGGGAGAATGAGGATTAGAATCTAGGTTTCCTGACTTCCAGGCCAGCATTTTTTACAATATGCCTCACTGACTCTCAGATTTTGTATCAGTTTTTAACTCCTTGGCAGGGCCCCAAACTCAGTCCTGAGACCTAGGTGATTGAAATGGGATGGAGCATGGGTTTTGAGGAGAGGCTAAATGTTATCTCCCTCTTTCCTTTCCCCATTTCTATTCTGAGCCCCTCAACTATCTGGGAACTACAGATGACATGAAGTGAACTAGGCCGGGAAGAAGATAAAGGAAGAAAAAGGAAGTAAGTAGATTAAGAAGTGATTGGAGAAAGCAAGATAGGGAACAGGTAAGAAAGATAAAGGAAAAGAGATGAGAGAAGGAGAGTAAAGGAATAGTAAATATTTGCAGCGGAAGGGAATAGAGGGCTGCCTAGAGAACTAGCAATTTCAGGTGCCTTTTTGTTTTAGTCACCTCTTTGAGCCTCAGTTTCCTCACTGATTTCCTCTAAATGGAACTGATTATTGTCTTTTTATCCTTGAGAATCATTGCCTTTTTTTGTCAACCTCTGCTTTATACTAATTTTCTAATTTGTATTGCAATTATATGCATGGATCTCCTCTTCTCTACTAAATTGTAAGATATTTGAGGGCAGAAAAAATATCAGATTTTATATTTGTGTTTCCAGAACCTAGAATAGTTCTCAACACATAGGTACGTAGTTGATGTTTGTTGAAGGGAATTATTATGTATATAACTCACATGTATGTTTATGTATATTTTATGTATGTTTATATATGGATATGTATATATACACACATATATCATGTGAAAGTTTGCAAAATGCTTTCCTTGCAGCAGCATTTCTGGGGAGGTGAAAGTAAGTATGATTAATCCTGTTTTACAGACCACGAAACTGAAATTTGTTCACGATGACATAGCTATTATGTCTCCAAGCTGGAAGTTAAGCTCAGGTCTTTTGACTTTGGGTTTAGCCTTCTTCTCAATACATCATGCTCTATAATGTGAGGTGGTTGGACTAAATAATTTCTAAGGTTCCTTCCAGCTCTAAGACTCTATGGTACTCTATAATTCTCCTGTTCCTTGAGGCAGCTAGGTAGTGCAGTGGAGAGAGAACTCTGGGCTTGGAGTCAGAAAGTTGTTTTTGTTTAGTTGTGTCCAACTCTTTGTGACCCCACTTGGGGTTTTCTTGGCAAAGATACTGGAGTGGTTTGCCATTTCCTTCTCCAGCTCATTTTATAGATGAGGAAACCACATCTATCCACTGTGCCACCTAGCTGCCCTATGGAGTCAGAAAGACCTGAGTTCAAATCTTGTCTCAGACACTTAGCTATGTGACCTTAGATCATAAGTTGCTTAATCTCTCTCTCACTCAGTTTCTTCATCTGCAAAGTAGAGATAAGAATAGTTCTTGCCTCCCAGGGTTGTGAAGATCAAGTGTGATAATATATATGAAGTGCTTTGTAAACTGTAATGTATTTATTATTATTATTACTCTAGGCATTGTGCTTGTGGGCCAAGTTAAATGCTTTGCTCACCCCACCCATGGTTAGGATATACCAAGAGTACTCTTGAGATGTGAGAGTAATAGAATCCTTGCTGGCCTATGCCACTTTGCCAACTTGAAAAGGGGCACAGGCTTCAGGGAGGAATTTTTGCCAGCTCTCATCTCTCTTCTGCCTCTTTAGGGACCAGGACCCAGTGCCCAGCCCCCTGCTCAGTCCTTCATGTTTAGCTTTGGTCACCCTCTGAAAGGATCCTGTGCTGTGCTCAGGACCAAGATCTCTCAGGGTCCTTACAGCCCTAAAAATTCTATGGGACTGTGATGAAGGACTTGGAAGTATGGTGCTTTATTGCCTATAGGGCCTATAGGCAATTTTCAGGTAGAGTCTTAATTAGGAATTCTTTGGGGCAAAAATAGTTGTGGGTCAATAGGTCGATAGGCCACAGAGCAATGGCCTTGGGTGGTGTGGGCCAGCAGAAGACTACAACGTGAGGCATAGACAAGAAGTACTCCTCCCACCCTGCTCCCCTCCTCATACCATGTCAGAGCTCTGGGCAAAGTCCCTTTCCCCTAACACTAGTTATGGCTCCAGTGTCAGGGACCTGAGGACTTGTCTAAAGAGGACACTTGACAAACATTTTTTTTGAATGAATGAATATGAGAGAAGTTCAATGACTTGAGCTTGTGGAGGCTCATGATCTGGGGACCCTGAAGGTCATGGAACTGGTGAGTAAGGGGATAGTACCCAGAATGGATTCATCATCCTTCAATCCATCTACTTTCACTGTGGGGTTCTGGGCACGAAAGCTGAGCCCCCTGGATAGTGTTGAGAGTGGAGGGTACAGAACAGATCTCTGCCTAAAAGGAATGTGTATCAGGCAGCCCCCGCCCAGGAGGGGCTAAAAAAAGCCCCGCACTCCCCTGAGCTTTGTGTGTGGGGTTATCAGCTGCTATGTGTCGGCTCGTCACTGTGGTCAGACTCTGACATTTTTAAGGGGGCCCTGGTCCCCTATCCCCTCTGTGTTTCTCCCAGGCAACAGGAAGAGGGCAGCCTTTTCTTGGCCTGGATGCCAGGGGTATGGTGGAAGGAGAAGGTGGGGGTTGGTGGACCCAAATCTGGTGACAATGGACAATTGTCAGCTGGACTCTGTGGGCGTTTCTTCCTTTTATAGTCAGTGACAGTTGCTCTCTCTCTGGCCCAACCCCGGGGGAGGGGGGCTCAGGTCAATGATATAAGGGGCAGAGAAACTCAAGGCTCCCGTCTCTCTGTCTTCCAGCCTCCTCTTGCTTCCTCTTAGGGTTTCCAGTTCCATCAGAGATCCCAGCGCCATGCCTCCCAAGAAGCCTGAGCCCAAAAAGGAGGCAGCCAAACCAGCCCCAGCTGGAGCCCCAGCCCCTGCCCCAGCTCCTGCTCCTGCTCCAGAAGCCCCCAAAGAACCTGCCTTTGATCCAAAGAGTGTGAAGGTGAGATGCATCTAACTGGGAGGAGGGGGATCAAGGACCTTTTCCCACTCTGGGAGGATAGGGTAGGTGTACATATTGGGGAAGAACGTTTCTGGGCTTAATTAACCCCTTACTGGGACAGAATACTACAGTGTACCTGCCCTAGGGAATAGACACATTGTGTTTTTAATCTTTTTTATGTCTTGGACCTCTCTGGCAGTCTGCTGAAGCCTAGGGATTCCTTCTTAGAAAAATGTTTTTAAGTGCATAAAGTAAAATACATTAGATTATGAAGGAAATCAATTTCATTAAAATACAGTTATCCAAAAAATGTGAAAACAAGAAGAAGTTCACTAGACCTTAGGTTAAGAACCATTGATATAGAGGAACTGGAAGCTAAGGAAGGGGAAGTATCACTGTACAATGACCCTAGGCTTTAATCAGTCACTCAGGAAGCATTTATTGAGTGCCTGCTATGTTCAAAGCACTGTGTTAAGGACTTGGGGAGATACAAAGACGTTTTTGTTTTTGTTTTTGTTTTTTAAAGATAGTTCCTGCTTTTGAGAAGCTACTGATTTAGTTGGGGGGAATAGACATACACAGACATAAAAAGATAACATATCCTACAAACCGGTATATGATAAGTGCCAAGTGAATGACAGTTCATGGGATTTAGGTCTGGAAGGTCTTTACAGACATTTATTTTATGGATGAGAAAATTGAGCATCAGAGAGGGGAATTACTTGCCTAAGGTCATACAGGCTAGTAAGTCATAGAGTCAGGATTTGAACCCAGGTCTTCAGACTCTACATCTGGTGCTCTCTCAACTATACCATGTTTCTTAGGTAATAAGAGCTAGAAGGGCTCAGAGGAGAGAAGGAGAGATCCTTACAGGCTGGTCAGGGAAGACTTAGTAGAGTAGGGAGGGTTGGGTCTTAAAGGGTGAATACCATTTAAACAATCTCTCCCCATTCTCTGTTACATTCTCATTTTTACATTTCTAACACCTTCCAATGTCAACCTAGGATGGCTGCAGCTGAGGCTAACATCAATACTCTGGCTATGCTCAGCATGTTGATGGTACTGCCCCCATATCAAGCTAAAATTTTTCTACCTTGTTTCTTCTCTTCTTTCTGCATTTGAGGAACCTCTACCCAGATCCCACAAGAGTGAGCGTATGGCAGGGTATGGCTGTTTCTAGGGTTGAACTAGAAAAGGGGAATCTCTTTACCTTTTGTTTCTCTTGCCTTCAGCCCCCTCAGGGGAATGTTCCTTTCCTCAGAATAGGTGTGGCTCCCACCAACCTGGCTGCTTAGCTGAGAATTCCAAGCTCACAGACCAGGCTGTGGAAGGAATTAGTTTGGGAGGGGAAGCTAGAAAAAGGAGTGAGGAGTGAGGGTAGAGGTGGCCAAGAGGCTCCTCAGGGGAATGGAACAATTTTAAGCCTCCACACCAAAATGAGGGAGGTTGTGCAGTCACTGGTAGGGAGAGCTATTTATAACTGGGCTGGGGCTGGAAGGGGTGGGGCAGGAGACAAGGGAGCCCAGCCCTCACGACAGAACTGGGGATAGACAGCTGGAGGGAAGGTAGGTAGAGCCAGGATTAGTCTGGGCTCAGGCCTAAAGGAGTCCAGAGGCTTTTGCGCACCATGTGTCTCTCTCCCTTTATGGGCAGAGCCTGGCAGGTACAAATCCACTCATCATGACAGCCCTTTGCTATAATCTTTATCATGTTGGGATTAAGCACCACTCCATTTGGACAGCCACTGCCAAGCTAGGTTCACTAGCCATCCAGCGGTGCCTTCTTTGACCCTGGCAACTGTTTCAGCAATGAGTCAGTGAAATAAGCGAACTGCCCACCACCTCTCTCTGGACCTTTCCTCTTAACCTTTTTTTTTTTTAGATGTCAAACCTCATGTGTCACTGAGGTTTGAAATCTCTCAGCCTTCCTTGACTCCTCCCTCTCCCTTATGCTTCCCCTCCCCACCGAATTCATTTCTCCGCTCCCCTCCTCTCTCTTCCCCCCTTCTTCCCTCTCTTTCCCTCTCCTCTCCTCTCCCACCCCATTCCACGAAGTATTCCATTCTACAAAACCTTTTCGGCAGTCTGATGAAGCCTATGGATGCCCTGTCAGAATAAAGTTTTTAAATGCATAAAATATATGAATTACAAAGGAAACCAATTACATTAAAGTATAATTATCAAAAGATTTTAAAAATAAGTTTACAGACCCCAGGTTCAGAGATGGTTAGAGAATGCTTTGCTTACCTAATGCTCTCCACATTGTCCTGGCCCTCTGCACATCATCTTGTGATCCTCCTTCCTATACCCCACGCTGCTGGCATTTTTTAAAAGCTCTGAGAAACTGGTTTGTTTTAAATGTGCCCACTGCAAACTTATTCACATTGTACTTAGCTATAGCAAACCTCTTCTTTCATATATTGTGAAACGGTAAAATGTCAGTCCAACAATCTTTCTGAATTCTGACAGATTTGAAGTCAGGGACCCTAAACGAGGCTCTCTGTCAGCCTCGTGGGAAGGGGGAAGCAAAGAATCTATAATTACACTAATTACACTAAGCACCAACCTCCTTCCTGCCTCTAAGCCATCCTTTATTCCTCCTGTGTGGTATAATGTAAAAAGATCTGGACTTGGAGTCAGGTGACCAGGAAACCCAGCTCTGCCACTTAGTATCTATGTGACTTTGGACAAGTCACTTTACCTCTATATGATAAGTACCTTCATTTATAGTATGAAAGGGTTAGACTATAAAGATCTCTAAGGTCCCTTCCAACTCAATATCTAATTGTGTGATCCTATAAACTTTTATGAGTATTATCTAAAAATGGGGATAATAATTAGTCAAATCAATCAACAGAGGTCAGCGTAGTGTAAATAGAGAACTGGTCTTGAAGTCAAGAGGATCTGACTTCTGACACACACTGGCTGTATTACCTTAGACAAGTCATTAATATCTTAGTGCTATCTATAGTCAACTCTCCGAGATCCGTACTTGCAGAGAAGATGATGACTTTCTTTGGTGGATGGAGTATTCTCACATGGGAGTTTTCTTTACTAATAAAATCACGGGTTCAGGTTCTGTCCAATCCCTATCTCTATTCAGTCCTTAATTAATAAGCATTTATTAAGCATTGTGTCAAGCCTTGTGCTAGGTACTGGGGATACAATAACAAAAATGAAACAGTCTTTGACCTCAAGGAGCTTAAATTACAGTAAGGGAGACAAATGCATACCTATATTTGTTTTTCAGTTGCATCCAACTCTTCATGACCCCGTGGACCATAGCACACCAATTCTATACATAGGTTTTTCTTGGCAAAGATAATGGAGTGGTTTGCCATTTCCTTCTCTAGTGAATTAAAGCAAACAGAGGTTAAGTGCCCAGGGCCACAGAACTAATAAATATCTAAGGCCAGATCTGAACTTGGGTTGTCCTGACTCCAGATCCAGTGCTCTATCCACTGAGCCACCTAGCTGCCTGTATACCTATATAAGTATATGCAAAATAAACACAAAGTACTTTCTTTCTTTCCTTCTCCCTTCCTTTTTTCTTTCTTTCTTTCTCCCTTCCTCCCTTCTTAACTCCCTTCCCTCTCTTTTCCTTCCTTCCTTCCTTCCTTCCTTCCTTCCTTCCTTTCTTTCTTTCTTTCTTTCTTTCTTTCTTTCTTTCTTTCTTTCTT